ACACCTGGCTATTTTCTATTTTATGTGTATGAATATTTTACCTGAATGCATGTGCACTACATCTGGGCTTGGTGTCCACAGAGGCCAGAGAAGAGGGTGTCTGATCTCCTGGAACTGGAGTCATAGACAATTGTTAGCCACCCTGTGGGTGTTGGAACCTGAACCTAGGTCCTCTACAAAAGCAGCAAGGCTGGGCATGGTGGCATGTGTCTTTAATCCCAGCACTCAAGAGGCAGAGGCAGACGGCAGATCTCTGTGAGATGGAGGCCAGCTTGGTCTATATAGCAAGTTCTAGGCCAGCTGGGGCTACAGGGAGACTCTGTCTTAAAAACAAATAAACAGACAAACAAACAAACAAACCCCATCCCAAACCCAAAAGGTTTCTGAATATATAACAATCCAGAAGCTGATTCAAAATCAAACATATGATGAGTCTGAGGTGTTTCTGGAAGTGTTCACTCATGTTGCACACATGACTTTGTTGCAGCCTTGGATCAGAACACATGACCTGTGCTCTCTGCACTGTGCATGCTGTCATGCCATCACACACAAACAAATGCCTGATACACCCTGGCTCAGATTTGAGATGATTTCAGGTTATGAATTGCAGTGTTTTTGCCCTACATACAAATTTTTCTGCTCTTATGGAAACATAACGGTGTCATTAAGGAAAAGAGACATTTTAATATTTCCCTTCCATTATTCCTCAGCAGGAAAATATCAAATTAGCATATCTGTGAATTGTATTGTGTTAGAATGTTTGATTTTGAAAATCGCTGCTTGAAGGCTGGAGAGATGTCTCAGCAGTTAAGAGAATTGCCTGCTCTTGCAGAGGACCCATGTTCATATCCCAGCATCCACATGGCAGCTAACAACCATCCATAACTCAAGATCCAGGGGATCTGATGCCTTCTTCTGTTCTCTTTGGGCACTGCACGACACAGGTGCATTTACATACATTCAGGTACAACACTCATACACATAAAAATAAATAAATAAAATTGCTGCTTGAGGGGCTGGAGAAATGGCTTAGGGGTGAAAGTACTGGCTGTTCTTGCAAAGGACCCAGGTTTGATTCCCAGCACCTGCCTGGTGGCTAACAACCATCCACAACTCTACAACTTTTTCTAGGTGATCTGACACCCTCTTCTGGCCTCTGAAGGTATTGTACACACATGATGGTGAACTTACATACATGCAGGCAAAACACTCATGCACATTTAAATAAATAAATATAATAGATGATGAATAAAATTTCTTTAAAATTGCTGCCTGAGAGGCTGGAGAGATGACTTATTGGTTAAGAGTGTTTACTGCAGAAGCATGAAGCCTGAAGTTTGGATGGCAGCACTCATACAAAAGCTGGGCATGGTCCTGTGTATATCTGTAAACCCATTATGTAGGGGGGCAGAGACAGGGGGATCACAGGGGCTTGCTGGCTGCCAACCTAATGAACAATACAGCTCCAGGTTCAGCAAGAGATCCTGCCTCCAAAGGAATCAGTTGGAGAGTGACAGAGGACACCCAATGCCCTCCTCTGGCCTCTGCATACATGCATAGTTATGTGCATCCTCATATACACATGCATATGAGAAATGACCTTCATAGACTCACATGTTTGAATACTTGGTCCCCAGTTAGTGGTGCTGTTTTGGGACGTTTAGGAGGTGTGGCCTTGGTAGAGGACATAGAGGTGTGGGCTTTGAGTGTATATAAGCTTTGCCCCCCACCCCCACTTCCAATTTGCCCTCTCTCTGCTTGGTGTTTGAGGTTGAGGATGTGAGCTCTTGGCTTCCTGCTCCTTCTGCCACGCCTGTGTGTTGCCATGCCTCCCCACCACGATGGACCAATGGGTGCTAAGGATTGAACTCAGGGTCTCATGCTTTATGGAAGCACCTCACTGGCAGAGCTATCTTCACAACCCTCCTACTTCAAATATACCAACAAAACCAAACAAACCACCCCCACACCAAAAAACCCCACAGAATACAAAAACACCTTCCTCATGGGTATTTAATGAGCAATTTGATGCAAAGAGAAGTTCCTCTCCTCTTTTCCCAAAATCTTGCCTGTTGTTTCTTCAGGAGCCGAGGTTTTCACACACAGTACTTGCTAAAGAAAGTCACACTTTGCTGGGGCAGGTCTTGAAGATCAGTGTGAATGTGGGTTCTCTGTCTTCCGTGTTGACCACCTATCTTTCTTATACCTTTTTCTCTCCCCTAGAGCCTTTAGAAACTGACCTTGGCCAAGCAGGCCAGGTGAAGCCCTGTCACCACCATCAGTGTCTCTGAACCAGACGCCAGGCGACTCAAGCATCCCACCCCCACATATGAAGGGGCCCCGTGGGGACCTGAATGCAGGTCCCCTGGGTGTTGGAAATACCTGCTAGGTACTCAATGACTGCAGCCATGTAGACAGGTGCGCCCACGCTGATCCGGTACTTGAATGTCCCCTTCTTCAGGTAACGCATCAGTCGCCCCACTGGAAAGATGACACCGGCCCTGGCTGACCGGGACAGCTTGGACATTTTCTTCTTTCCGCTCCGGCCCGACATCTTGCCTCAGTATCCCTCTCAGCTTGCTGACACAGTGGCCTCCCGGCACTTACACAGTACTGGAAAGGAAAGAAGGAAGGATTGAGGAAGGCTGGGTAGAAACAGCAGGTGTACAGCAGCATGTGTACATGCTGGTACAGTGTCCCGCTGTCCCAGGGTGAGCCATAGATGCCAGCGCAAGGAGCTGCAAGATGAGCCAGACAGGCTCTGAAGGGCACCTACAGCCTCCACACAGATATCCCTCCCCATTGGCCACCTGAGCAGCAGAGGCCAAGAGAGGCTGTCACTGGAGAGAACAGTTCTGGTTCTATGCTCAGACATACAGTGATGGCCAAGATGTCATTTCTTTGTCCCCAGAGCCTGTGCACGCTGCTCTGTATTGACAAAGGGACTTTGCAGGCATGATTAAAGGCTCTTTTTTCTTTTATAAAAAGATTTTATTTGGCTTGGCATGGTGGCACACGCCTTTAATCCCAGCACTAGGGAGGCAGAGGCAGGTGGATCTTTGTGAGTTCAAGGCCAGTCTGGTCTACATAGAGTTCCAGGCCAGCTGGGGTTACAGAGAGACACTGTCTCAAAAATTTTTTTTCATTTATTATTTCTATTTTATGTGTATGAATGTATTGCCTGCATGCATGTAAGTGCACCCATGTCATGTAGTGCCCGAGGAGGACAGAAGGGAGTTTTAGATCCCTTGGAACTGGAGTTATGGATGGTAGTTAGCTGCCATGTGGGTGCTGGGATTTGAACCCAGGTCTTCTGCAAGAGCAGCCAGTGCTCTTAACCATTGAGCCATCTCTCCAGTCCCTCTTTTTCTTTCTTTTTTAAAAATATTTTTTGATTTATTTATTTTAATTTTATGTGTATGCATGTTTGACTGCATGTTAAGTGCACCATATGCATGCAGTGTTCACAGAGGCCACAAGAGGGGACTAGGTTCCCTGCAACTGGAGTTAAGGATTGTCATGAACTACCGTGTGGGTGCTGGGAACCAAACCCTCATCCTCTACAAGAGTAGCCAGTGCTCTTAACCACTGAGCCATCTCTCCAGCATCCCCCCCGCTGCCTTTTTCTTGATGCAGGCCCTCCCTCATATAGCCTAGGCTGCATGTATTCGAGGATGACCTTAACTCCTCGTTTTACTCCCTCCACTTCCCCAGAGCTGAAATTAGAGCTGTGAGCTGCCCCACCTGCTCCACAATTAGTCCTGGGTGATATAAGTAAGCCAATACACATTTCTCAAAAGGAAATACTCTCTTTGTACACCATGTGCATGCAGTGCCAGTGGAGGCCAGAAGAGGGTGTTAGATCCTCTGGAACTGGCATTAGAGATAGTGCCATGTGGGTGCTGGGGAACCAAATCCATATATTCTGCAAGAGCAGCCAGTACTCTTGACCGCCGAGCCATCTCTCAAGGCCCAGGAAATACTTTAACTTCACCAATAATGAGGTCTAATTATATAATCTTTTAAAAATTTTATTTTATTTTATTGTTTTGAGACAAGGCCTCACTAGAGAGCCCCAGCTGACCTGGAAATTGCTATATAGACCATCCCAGACTGGCCTCGATCTCACCAAGATTCACCTGCCTCTGCTCCAGAGTGCTGGGATTAAAGATATGCACCACCATGCCTGGCCTTTTTTTTTTTTTGCCAGAGTCTCATGTAGCTCCAGTCGAGGATGACTTTGAACTTCAGATCTTCCTACCTTCACCTCCCAAGTACTGGGATTGTAGGCATGTACCACCATACCTAGTTTTATGGGTAGTACTGGGGCTAGAACCCACGGCTTCATGTTTGCTAGGCAAGCACTCTACCAACTGAGCTACATCCCCAGCCCCAATGTAACATTCTTAAAACAAACAAACAAACACACACCCCAGGAAAGGCAGTGTTAGTGGAACATGCTAGTGCTTAGTAATGAGACAGCAAACAGAAAGCCACAGCCCTGCCCAAGCTTCTGCTCCTTGACACCGGGAATCCAGGCTGATCTGGGAGAGAGATTCATCATCACAGATGGGTGGCTTCTGTGCATTGCACTGAGGGGCAGGGCTATCATTCACTGTTATTTATGGAAGCTATCTTTTGAGTGAAGGAAAAACAACTATGGCTTCCTGAACATAGTCTTTGTAAGGCTAAAAATAATTACAGAGCTGGAATGACCTTAAACTGTTAGTTAAGGGAATATTGTGACCAAAGAATAATATCATGTATCATTTTATATCCTATATGATATATATTAGATGTGTATATTATAATAGGTATAACAAAATATAACAATATATAGTTAATTATATAGTACTATAATTCAGAATAAGAATGTTACAAAGGACACATAACAGGATCAGAGTGAAGGCAACAGCCATTTCTAGGAAATGTGTTAATGAGTCAAAGCTCTCTGCTTCAGGCCACCACATTCCCTTGAGGATAGAAATGAGAAAGTCAAATAAATTGAAATAATTTCTACCCACTGGGGTGGCATGCCACATGTCCATGAGGCTGTTTTACCAGCAGCTCATGTGGCCATGAAAAGGCTCAGAACACAGCTAGAGTGAAGACAGGGACAGCGTCAATGAATGCCTGGCTGATGGGAGAGATGCACGGCTGGGGCTACTGAGTCTGGATGGGTGTAGAAAAGTTTCTTTCTTTTTGGGTTTTTTTGCATCTATCTATCTATCTATCTATCTATCTATCTATCTATCTATCTATCTATCTATCTATCTATCTATCTATCTATCATCTATTTATCTATGTATGTGGCATATGCATGCCGCAGCATAGAAGGCAACTTGTGGGAGTCTCTTCTCTCCTTCCACCATGTGGGTCCCTCGGATTGAACTCAGGTTGTCAGTCTTGGTGGCAAGTGCCTTTATCCACTGTGCCATCTTGACAACTCTATGTTTCAATTTCCTATAGCATCTGATGACTCTGTTATGATTGAGGCATTTTACACATAAACTATGGAATTACAGTACTCATTCCTAAATCAATTTCCTTCCTTCCTTCCTTCCTTCCTTCCTTCCTTCCTTCCTTCCTTCCTTCCTCCCTCCCTCCCCCTTCCTTCTTTCCTTCCTTCCTTCCTTCCTTTCTTCCTTCCCTCCCTTCTTTTCTTTTCTTTTCTTTTCTTTTCTTTTCTTTTCTTTTCTTTTCTTCTTCTTTCTTTGGTTTTTTGTTACTCTAACATTTTTCCTCTCTCTCCTTTCCCCCGTCCTTTCTTTTTTTTTTTTTAAAAAAAAATTCATTTATTTGTATTTTACGTGTGTCAATGTTTTACCTGTATATAAGTAAGTGCACCGTGTGTGTAGTGCTCACAGAGGCCAGAAGAGGGTGTCAGATCCTCTGGAACTGGAGTTTAGGACTGGTGTTAGAAGCCACAAAGGTTCTGGGAACTGAACCCAGGGTTCTCTGAAAGAGCAGCCAGTGCTCTTAACTACTGAGACTTCTCTCTAGCCCACCACCCCCTTTATCTTTTCTAAATGGGACATCTCTATCACCACCTTGAAGGCCCAGGGAGCACTTGTAAGAGGAGGGAAGAGTTTTGTAGGAGCTAGAGGATTGAGAGGAAGGATGCTATGCTATGCACCATTGTCCTCTGGATATGACACCAACATCACAATGAAGAACATAGTAGCTGTGGCCAGCTGCGCACACACACACACACACACACACACACACACACACAGAGCAGCTGTGTCCACCTGCACATGTGCACACACACACAGAGCAGCTGTGGCCACCACACACACACACATGCATACCATAAACACATACACAGGCACACTTGCACATATGCACACAGGCATGCACACACATGCACACACCTTTCTAAAACAAGTTAGAGAATATGCAGGATAAAAGTACCAGGGTATTTCCCTAGGATGAATGAAGATGAGCCAGACATTGCCCTAAAACTGGAAATTAGGACCAGAAGAAGCAGAAAAGCAAGTGACTTTAGGAAACTTTAAGGATGCTTAAAATACTCATGAGGACAAATTAGCCAAGTGAGGAAAAAATCAAGGTGCAATGCAGACCTGTGCACCTGTTGCAGACTGCATAAAGCCTCCAAACACAGCACTTAGCCCCACCCAGACACATTATATCAAGACTTTCCTTCCACCCATTTCAGAGCTGGGGATGTGGCATCAAGTGAGGTCTACTTGAGAGATGATCAACTTGTGGGCTTTACCTAGAACGAGAGGGTTCTTGCTGCTGCTGAATGCATCGCTTAGACATGCTGGTATTTTAGGCATCCAGGTACCTACCTCCTAGGTCCTTGGGGGTGCCCTGCTCACTGTAAGTCCCCAAGGGAAAAGAGGCGCCACTGGGAATACCCTGCACCTCTAAATTCCTCCTTTGCCAGTCCACCCTTTCCTCTCACTCCATTCCATCTTGGAAGTAAGAAATTCAAAATTTGAGTGAGCTGGGTAATAGTAGTGCAGGCCTTTAATTCTAGTACTCAGGAGGTAGAGACAGGAGGATCTCTGTGAGATGGAGGCCAGCCTGATTTATACAGCAAGTTCCAGGGTCTACAGGGAGACTGTCTCAAAAACAAAAACAAAATTTGAGTGGGTCTTTCTTTCTCTACATTGTATGCGCTTGAGTCTGGTGTAGTTCTCCCCAGGAAAATTTGTTTCCATCTGACTAATAGTTAAACAGTTACTCTTGTTTACCTGCTTTAAATAGTTTGGCTCATATTAGGCATGTGCTGGGGCAGAAAGTGAATTTAGATTCTATTGGGTCAGAATTCATTTCTAGGATCTGGTTTTAGGCCCACATATACACTAATTAGATTTTATAGCCATCACAGAAGAAGCATTAAATCACAGCCCTGCCTTAAACATGGGCAATAAATTCACAATGGCCTACTCCAATAGCTATTGTATTTTATTGGTTTTTAAACATTTACTTTTATTTTATGTATATGAGTGTTTTGCCTACATGTAAGTACACCCGTGCATGCAGTGACTGTAGAGGTCAGAAGAGGGGGTCAGATTCCTCTGGAACTGGAGTTACAGATGGTCGTTAGCTGCCATGTGGGTGCTGGGATTCAAACCCAGGTC